TCACTGTTTCAGGGCACATGAAAATCTAGACTCACAGAATTTGAGAGCCAAAAGGACCTTTGGTGTCGGATTGCCCATCTTCCTCATTTTGCAGAGGGCTGCCGGCCCAGGAGAGGAAGTTACCTGCTCAGGCTGCACAGCTGGCTCCTTGCAGGGCTGGGACGAGAGCTCCTCGTTCAGTATTCTTGTTACTGCGAAGTGACTCTGTTGACTTTTTTTAAAAATAACTTTCTTGAGGCATACTTTACATATCATGTAATTCACCCATTTCAAGCATACAATTCAATGATTTCTTTTTAGTAGATTTACCAAGTCATGCAACCGTGACCATGAATCAGTTTTAGAAAATTTCCATCATACCAATATGACTCCTTGTGTCATGAACTGTTAATTCTTGTCATCTCTACCTCTCCCCAACCCTAGGCGACCACTACAGAGTTAAGTCCTTCTGTATCACTCTAGACCTGGTCTAGAATAGAGACTAAAGCCTTTCTGTCCCTACAGATTTGCCTTTTCTGGACATTTTGTATAAATGGCATCATACAGTATAAGGTCTCTCATGTTCTTTCACTTAGCATAATATTTGTGAGGTTCACCCATGTTGTCACGTGTATCAGCATTTCATTCCTTTTTATTGCCAAATAGTACTCCTTTATATGGATGTATCGCATTTTCTTTATCCGTTCACCAGTTGATGGACATTTAAGGTTGTTTCCACTTTGGGGCTTTTATGAATAATGTTGCTAATAGCATTTATGTGTCACTGTTTACTTTTTAAGTTTAATAACTCTTTCCCCTCAAATTGGAGTTAAACTTTCCATCAGATGTAGCCTCTTTCCCTACTCTTTTTCTCCAGATCTGCACAGTAGGGTTCCCCCAGACAACAACCAAAGTTGCTATGAATGTTCTAATAAATAGCCTTAGGGGATTAGATAGTCCAGAGAGGAAAAGGCTTGTTAATCTAATGATAATCTTCTATTCTGTGATGGCTTATGAGAAACTGTTAGCCGAATGCCTTCCGTCTTCACAGAAAATAAATGAGAGGAACTGGATTTCAACCTCAGCAAAAACACTTCAGATGTGCATAAGGAGGCACATTTTATATGGCAGTGGATGCTATCAAGCTAATTTGCAATATCATAAAGACAAAGCCCATGTAATTTGCTCTGAGAGAAGCTTACATGAATGGATTTAAATCTGTCTGAGGCCGGATGGCCCCCTGTGATCCCCTAAATGGAAGACAGTCCTTTTGTGGTGCTTCTTTTGTGAGGTTTAGGAAGACATTGGCCTTTGGAGTTCACAGAGGCCATTTCATTGTGCCCATGAGAATGGTTGTTGGAGTCACTGTGCCATAAAACCAGTCATTGGAGGGTTTTACACAAACCACTGGGTGTAGCAGAAGGAGACATTGCTCCCGTGTCCTGAACAGAGCAGTGTCCCCTAGCTGCTCTTCTCTCCCTAATAATAGCTAGAATAATCTTTATTCAGTTCTAGAATTGTGCAGTTTACAAAGTGAGTTCACATCTAATCTCCTTCTGACTTTGTATTTGAGCCTTAGCACTTCCCACAGCGACCCGTGAGACAGACTCCGTCACAGGGCAGTTCAAAGCTCTCTCCAGTCTGATTCGATCCTGTTGACCTGCCTTTATCTCCCGTCATTCCCAGCAGTGGACTCGCATCACATTGGACTATTCACCGTCTCTTGAATACCACCCGTTCCTTAGTTCCTCTGTCTCTTCACTATACTGTCCCTTCATATCCCTTGTCTGTTTGGAGACCTCTGCCTCAGCCTATAGTCGGGCCTGCATGTTATCCCTTCTGCAGGTAAATGTTTTCCCTTCTTTGCCTTAGCAGAATTCGTTGCTCCCCTTTCGGGCACCCATAATGGTTTGATAATACAATATAATGTATTGACTGTATGATCTTTAAGAAGTAGCTTAACGTCTCTGGTTTTTCTTTCCTTATTTCAAATACTTTTGTGTCTTTCAGAGGAATTCTATGAAACCTAAATACCAAAGAATATTACATAAAAATGTAATCCTTTAGTATTAATAGTAGAAATGTGAACATTGAGTTCAGATTATAATTAGAACTAGTTTTCTCTGGGTCTGCTTGATGCTTGAGCACAGCAATCCTGATGTGTTCATCTTTGTATCCTAAACACTCAGCCCCTGTCGTGATAGGTAATAAATGAGATTGGATCATTATAAAGTAGGCAGGGAAAATACTATTGTCATAATTTTGTAGACTTGAAATTGAGGCCCAAAATACTAAGTGATGTAATGACTTAATTATTATGTCTTGGCCACCTTTCCCTGAGTTCATCAATAGAACTTCCAGAGACCTCTGAAGGACTTGTACCTGGCTCTACCTAGTATCAAAGGTACGTTTTCTCAACATATTGTCTGGGACTGCCTGTCGTAGACTGACTTCTGAAGATACTTATTAAAAATACAAAATCAAATCTCACAAATGTAATTTTGAGCAAAAAAATTAAAAAAACCATACTCTTATCAGAAGTGAGAGGACAGTACTACCAATTTTACAGAACAAATATAAGAGGATACTGTGAGAAACTATGTGCCCACAAACTGGATAACTTGGACGAAATGGACAACTTCCTAGAAATGCACAACCTACCAAGACTGACTCATGAGGAAACAAAAAATCTGAACAGACCTATAAGTAGTAAGGAGATTGAATCAGTAATTTAAAAAAACCAACAAACTCCCAGCAAAGAAAAGCCTAGGATCAGATGGCTCACTAGTGAAATCCACCAAACATTTAAAGAAGAATTAATACCAACCCTTCTCAAACTCTTCCCAAAAATTGAAGAGGAGGAAACACTTCCTAACTCATTCTCTGAGGCCAGCATTATCCTGAAACCAAAGTCAGAAAAAGCTACTACATGAAAACTACACACCAATGTCCCGTATGAATATTGACGCAAAAATCCTGAACAAAATACTAGCAAACAGAATTCAACAGCACCTTAAGAAGATTTTACATCATGACTAAGTGGGATTTATTCCTGGAATGCAAGGATGGTTCAATGTATGAAAATCAATGTAATAAATTACGTTAACAGAATTAAGGAGAAAAATCACATGATCATCTCAACTGGTACAGAAAAAGCATTTGACAAAATTCAACACCTTTTCAGACAAAAACTCAGCCAACTAGGAATAAAAGGAAAGTACCTCAAAATGATAAAAGTCACATGAAAAGCTGACAGCAAACGTCATACTCAATATTATAAGACTGAAAGCCTTTCCTCTAAGATCAGGAACATGAAAAGGATGCCTGCTTTCACCACTTCTGTTCAACATAGTACTGGAAGTTCTAGCCAGAGCAGTTAGGCAAGGAAAGAAAGAAAAGGGATGCAGCTTGGAAAGGAAGAGGTAAAATTATCTCTGCTTACAGATGACTTTTATGTTAAAAAAAACTGCAGATCTTGTGCATACACACACACCCACCCCCCCCCACACACACCCACACCCACCTACCTGTTAGAAATAGTAAACTAATTCAGTAAAGTTGCAGGATACAAATCAACACACAAAACTTAGTTGTATTTCTATACACTAACAATAAACAATCTGAAAAGTAAATTAAGAAAATTCTATTTACAGTAGTATTAAAAAGAATAAGATACTTAGAGGGGCCAGCCTGTGGCCGAGTGGCTAAGTTCACACACTCCGCTTCCACAGCCCAGGGTTTCCCCAGTTGGGATCCTGGGCGTGGACATGGCGCTACTCATCAGGCCATGTGAAGGTGGCATCCCACATAGCATAGCCAGAGGCACTCACAACTAGAATATACAACTGTGTACTGAGGGCTTTGGGGAGAAGAAAAACCAACAGCAAAAAAAGATTGGCAACAGATGTTAGCTCAGGTGCCAATCTTTAAAAGAAAATAATGGACAAAGGACTTGAATAGATATTTCTCTAAAGAAGATATACAAATGACCAACAGGTATGTGAAAAGATGTTCAACATCACTAATCATAGGGAAATACACATCAAAACCACAATAAGATATCATTTCACACCCACTGGGATGGCTGCTATTAAAAAAAAAACCCAGAAGATAACAAGCGTCAGCTAGGCTGTGGAGAAATTGGAACCCTTGTGCATTGTTGCTGGGAATGTAAAATGGTATAGTCACCATGGAAAACAGTCTGGTGGTTCTTCAAAAACTTAAGAACAGAATTACTGTATGATCCAGGAATTCTACTTCTGGGTCTATATCCAAAACAACTGAAAGCAGAGACTCCAAGAAATACTTGTATACCCATGTTCTTAGTTAGCAGCATTGTTCACAGAAGCCAAAAGATGGGAGCAATGCAAGCATCCACCAATGGGAGAATGGATAAACAAACTGTTATATACAGACAGTGGAACGTTATTTAGCTTAAAAAGGAAATAAGTTCTGGCACAGGCTACAACACGGATGAACCTTGAAGAGATTATGCTAAGTGAAATAAGCCAGTCACGAAAGGACAAACACTGTATGATTCCACTTCTCGGAGGTTCCTAGGGCAGTCAAATTCATACATATGTAAAGTAGAATGGTGGTCACCGGGGCATCCTGGGAGGAGGGAATGAGAGTTATTGTTTGATGGGCACCGAGTTTCAGTTTTGCAAGATGAAAAATTCCTGGAGATGGATGGTGGTGATGGTTGCACAACACTGGGAATGCACTTAAAGCTGCTGAACTGCACACTTAAAAATGGTAAAGATGGGGGCCGGCCCGGTGGGGTAGTGGTTAAGTTCACGCCCTAAGCTTCGGCAGCCCGGGGTTCATGGATGTGGGGCTCAGTTATCAGGTGCAGACCTACGCACTGCTCATCAGTTCACACTGTGGCAGCATCCTACTTACAAAATAGAGCCAGGCTGGCACAGGTGTTAGCTCAGGGCCAATCTTCCTCCCCCCATCCCCCCTCAAAAAAAGTGCAGATGGTAATTCTTATGTTACATGTATTTTACAATTTAAAAAATTTTTAACTAAAAAATTTTTAAAACCACACAAAAAAGTGTATACTGTATGATTTAGTTTATTTAAGGTACAAAAAATGGATCTGTGGTGTTAGATGTCAGAATAGTGGTTACCCTTGGGAGAGGAGAGTAGCTGGAAAGAGGCGGGAGGAAGCTTCTGGGGTACTGGTGATGTTTTATTTCTTGCTCTGGGTTTTATGGCAAGGGTGTGTAGAGTTAGTGAAATTTTGGGGGTTACACACTTGTGATTTGCGTAGTTTTCCATATGAATGTTACACTTCAAAAAAGATTCCAAAAATGCCGATTATGAGCCCCATAGCAGACGACAGACTCAGAATCTCTGAGGATGGGACCTGGGGACCCCGCAATTTAAAGATTCCCCTTCCAGGTTTTTCTTAAGAACATTGGATTTGGGGAATGTTTGCTAAAGGAAGGGGATTAGGTGAAAATCCGTCCCATGCCCAAGAATTCTTCAATTCTAACCTATTAATAAATATTCCTTAGAAAAGAAATTCCTGATATACTTGAGCCATTTACCTTCTCCTATTAGGAAAATGCACGTCATCTTTCAGGTGCTGAGAAAGAGAACTAAGACATCAATGAGATTTGGAAATGTTGAGTTTAATATATTACCTTTCTTCTAATTTGTCATACATACTCTAACCTATGAACGAACATTTTGAAGCCCTCTGAAAAACGGCAGGTGCTAGGACCTGATGGCATTCAGGCAAGTTCAGAAGGAGGTGAGGGGTGACACCGCGGGGCGTGGTGCTGTATAAACAGGTACAGAAAAGCCAGTTCTTCCACATATAAGCTACTTAGACTCCATTGCAGCTCCTTGCTACCATCTCCAAGACTGTAGCAGCCTGATCACTTGCTTATTAAACCAAAACATGTTTCTTGCAAAGGCTTTATTGGAAGGAGCAAATGGAGGCCTTGGAGAAGCTCTTGGAGGCCTTCTTGGAGGAGGCGGTCAGAAAAGAGGAGGAGGAGGAAATATTGGAGCGATAGTTGGGGGAATTATGAATTTTATCAGTGAGGCTGCAGCAGCCCAGTATACCCCCGAGCCGCCGCCATCCACTCAGCAGCATTTCACCACCGTGGAGGCCAACGAAAGTGAGGAGGTGCGGCAGTTTCGGCAACAGTTTGCGCGACTGGCTGGACCCGACATGGAGGTGGGTGCCACTGACCTGATGAACATTCTCAACAAAGTCCTCGCTAAGCACAAGGATCTGAAGTCGGACGGCTTCAGTCTTGACACCTGCCGGAGCATTGTATCCGTTATGGACAGTGACACGAATGGGAAGCTGGGCTTTGAAGAATTTAAGTACTTCTGGAACAACATCAAGAAGTGGCAGTGTGTTTTCAGGCAACATGACACGGACCGTTCCGGGTCTCTGAGGAGTTCCCAGCTGAAGGGGGCTCTGCAGGCGGCAGGTTTCCAGCTAAACGAGCAGCTCTACCGAATGATCGTCCGCCGCTACGCCGATGAGAATGGAAGCATGGATTTTAACAACTTCATCAGCTGCCTGGTCCGCCTGGATGCCATGTTCCGTGCCTTCAAATCTCTGGATAGAAATGCAAGTGGCCTGATTGAGGTGTCTATCCAGGAGTGGCTGCAGCTGACCATGTACTCCTGAAGTGGGCACTGAGACGGCAGGACCCTCCCCGGATGGCAGGACTGCTGAGGACCTTGCCATGCTGTCTGCGTGATCGCTGGTCCCGCGCCCAACAGCTGCCGTTTCCTGACGAGCTCTTTCACAGCGCTGCGTGTTTTTGAACTTGTGCAGCCCTTTACTGCTTAATTAAAACAGATTTTCATGAACAGTGTTCTGAGTGGTTTGTACATTAGCTTTTTGAGATACTAGATTTATATGCACTTATATGTGTGCTGGGGGTGCTCATATGGAGCTCTAATGGAGTAGATTTTCAGAGGTCATTGCTTGTTTGGTGAATGAATTCCAGGGAGCCGGAGATTTGTTGTTAATGAGATTATGAAAAATCTTGGAATAAATCAAAAAAGCACCCAAGAGATATATTTTTCCCTTAAAAAAGTGAGGAGGAGGAAAGTTTTAAATCTGTTTTTCTCTTAATTTCACATCTGACCTTTGTATTATATTAAAAAAAATGAAAAGTGCTATCCTGGAAGTGTATTTAACTGTATAGAAACAGGTTCAGAAATGTGAAATTAAGCAATTTCTTATAGGGTAGTATTTTTTTTTTTAATGGTGGAGTGACTTGCTAAAATTCTAGAATTCTTTAGTTCCGTTTCTCTGGTGAAATAAGCATGTAGCAATTTTGTTTTGTTTGATATGTTTATAAAAAAGGTCAGGGTGTTAGGGAAGGAAAAGATGTCCCCTTAGTTCAGAATGTCTCTGGCTGCCTTTGTAAATCAAAATAATCACTCTTACATGTGTCTCAAACAAAATCAGGCATGCCCAGCTGACGTTAGCCAGCTCTTGTCATGTCTTGCCCTGCCTCGGAGCAAGGAGTATTCTTGTGTTCCTCTTTGAAAACTCACACAGGAAGATAGTAAACAAAGAAAAAAAAGGAAAAACTTCCAGAAATTGTCATGAGTTATTTGGTATATAGAGCAATATAGAGATCTGTCAATATTGCTAACTTTATTGCAGTGTTCCTCAGCCCTGGCTGCAAGTTAGAATCCTGGGGAGAGCTGTGTAGGAACGCTGATACCTGACTCCCACTGCAAATGAGTTAAATAAGCATCTTTCGAGGTGGGGCCCAGAGATGAGTGTGTGTGAAGCTCTCCAGGGCATTCTAATGAGCAGCCGAGGATGACAGCCACTGCTCTTAAGCAAGGCTCTCACTGTATTTTTCAAATTGGTCTCAGCTGAAACTGAGGCCCAGCAGGAGAGTCAGAGTGCCAATATCCAAGAGAAGGAAGGTGGGAATACAGAGAAACTGCGATGTGTCGTCCTGGTCTGGCTTTATCGTTTCGATTCAGGCGGTTATGGCTGGGCAAGCAGAATCCAGAATCCCCATGCGAGTAGACCAGCGAGAGAGGCTGCATTTCCGAGCGCTCAGTTCCCCTGCCTGCTGCTTCCCTGGTTTCTACCCCTCCTGCCTCCCTGCTTTTGAATCCATTCCCTCTCTCCCAGGCTGCTTTGGAGAATCCTCCTGAGTTTGAAGGTAAATTCTTCCTTCCTCTTCTGACTCATTTAGAGGAAAGTTTAACTGTTGCAACTGGCCTGTTAAAAGCCCTCAGCTGCCTGTGAGAAATCCCCAGTGAAATTAGGAGGGGTTGACTTCTGACCCCTGTGTTCACCATCCTCACCATCATATAATATTTATGAAACACCAGGTGCATATAATTCTGCACTGAGTCAAGCTCAAAGATCACGTCCTCGAGGGACTTGTAATTTACGCTTGTTCTGGTGTGCTGCTTAGGCCAGGTATGGCTGTGGAAGGAGGAGGCAGCTGCCAGCAAGCACACATTAATATCAGGATCCCTATTTTAGAAGAAGCCCACTAATAGGTTAGGCATGGGTGTAGGAATGTAGTCAAGAAAGGGGAAAGCTGCCAAGATGCCTTTTAAGGTCTCAGAATATTAAGTTCATCATTTAACCTTTCTGTGTGGTGCTTGTGGAAAGAACAATGTAGCCACCCTCTTTTTTTCTCACTTCATTTTAAATATTTTATGAAAGTTGGGACAATGACCTCGCACTAGGGTTGGTATTAAGCGTTTCTCTCACTCCTCAAGCTAAGGGATCCCTAGTTCTGTGATTCTCTTCCTGCTTGCACAGGGCAAAACATCCTGAAGTTACCTAAGTTTCTCTTCTGAATTTGTATACAATTTGTCCACATAACCCTAGTCGCTAGAGCGGATACCAGAAAATTCAGTCCAAACTCTGGATTTTTTCAAGTACCCAAATCTTTGGCATTATGTAGAACCAATAGCCTAATGAATGATTCAATTTCCTAGTTTTCATCCAACAGTTGATGTCTTAAGGACACATTTTTAATATAAGATATTTACCTGATAGTTTTTTTACAATTTTGCCATTTCTACTTGGAAGACTACTTTTAGCCTAAGATGAAGATCTTTGATTCATATTACTGCATCCCATTATTTTCAAATTTCTGTCGTTAAGCAATACAATGTAGTAAGTTGAAAATAGTACTCAATGATCTAAAACAAATGTGAAATTGTACCATCTATATATTTTTTTTTTCAGGAAGATTAGCCCTGAGCTAACTACTGCCAATCCTCCTCTTTTTGCTGAGGAAGACTGGCCCTAAGCTAACATCCGTGCCCATCTTCCTCTACTTTATATTTGGGACACCCACCACAGCATGGCATGCCAAGCACTGCCATGTCTGCACCCGGGATCTGAACTGGCGAACCCCGGGCCACCAAAGCAGAACGTGCGCACTTAACCACTATGCCACTGGGCCAGCCCCCGATCTACATTTTTAAATTCAAAGTATCCCATATAATTTTGAAAAGCACTTTTATCTTGATATAATCTGTTGAATTCTGTAACTGTAACAGCAGGAAAAAGAACTGTGTGCTCTGAACCTAAGAAAAGCAAACCTCCAAAAACGTTGAAAATTTGTATCTCGTCTTAAAGGTCACCTTTTAAATATTTTTTTAGGAATGGTGCATGTGTTTTCAAAGGTTGATTTAGGGACCGACCCCATGGCGTAGTGGTTAAGTTCACTCTTTCCACTTTGAAGTTCCGCTTTGCGCTTTCCGTTCACAAGTTCGGATCCTGGGCATGGACCTAGCATTGCTCGTCAAGCCAGCTGCCGCAGCATCCCACATAAAATAGAGGAAGATTGGCATGGGTGTCAGCTCAGGAGCGATCTTCCTCACAAATAAAAAAAAAAAAGTTGATTTATATAGCAACCTCAGTCAGAAATTTCATCAGCAGTATTGCACAACTAACCTGTAGCAGGGCCTTAAAAACTATTTGTGGACGCACCTCCAGGGCCCTGATATTTAATGTGCCTGTTGATCTGGAAGAGCTTTCAGAATTACTTTTTAAAAATATTTACTTTTAATGCAAAGTGGGGTAAAACAATTTAATTTCTAGAAAATTGGTAATGCAATTATGTATGTGGGTAGAAATATGCTCTTAATAATAATATTCAGGTGAACAGATTGAATAATAATACTCCATTGGATTTGGAGAGTATCTTCAAAGACTCACTCCCTTTTTCTGTTGGCTGCTTCAAGGAAGGTTCTGTTTTCTGTAAGCATTTTTAAAGTATTTTGATGGCGTTGATTATCTCTCATTTGCAAGGATGTGTCAATGAAACACAACAAACAGAAAATAGTCCTGGTCCTTGGGACGCACCATCTCAAAACGTATTTGAAACCATTTCCTTAAATGTTGCTAGACTTAAAAAGTTGTAAAAAGTATCCGATTCCATAGGAATAAAAATGTTGAATAAACTCAACTATGAAAAACCGTAGGGAACTGATACCTGAGAATGAGACACATGAAAATCACCGTTTATCCCTTCTGGAATTTTCAATGATCCGTGTGGGAACAAGTGGCCAGGCACTTCCCGCTGGTCCTGGAAGCCAGTGTGGTGTGACTGTGGGGTGGTACCAAGCCAGCAGTGACCCCAGCCCTCCCTTCTGTGCCTTTCTGGTCCCACTGACTGCCGGGGAGGGGTGGGGCCCGCTGTCTCTGAGTTTCAGCAAGGCTGACTTACCTCTTATTTTTCTAGCAACTCACTGGAGCTCCTTGGTTCCAACTCGGGCTGTCCTGGCCTCCAGATTAGGACAGATGCTGGAGGGATGAGGGCCCCTTCCAGAAAGCTGGCTTCCTCCTTTGAAACGTAGCCCTGAAATCTTTTCAAGTCTAGATTTTTTTTTTTTTTAATTTCATAATTCTTCATGAGGAGTTCAGTGGGTTTTTAAAGGAAAGAATCATAGAGTTGAGGAATACCTTTTTATCATGGAACTGATTTGAAATTGGAAAATTAAAGGAATGTATTTTGCCATATACTTTTTTATTATCTGTTTTTGAGTGTATTTTATCAAGCTCCTTGCTTTAATTTGAGTGATTGGGAGTCAGATTACCTACATTTTAATTGTAGTTCTGGCAGTGGCGAGTTTTACAACCTCGAGTAAGACTTATGTCTCAGTTTCTTCATTAGTAAAAATGAAGAAGTTGAATAGATGATTCCAAGATTCCTTCCACTTCTGAATTTTATTATTCTGAATTTGGAAACTGAACAATGTATTTTTTTCCTAACCCAACAATATAATCTCTCAGAGTAATTTTTGTGCTGTTTTTCCTCACTTCACTAGGATGAAAATTTATCATTTCTCATGTGATTGATTATCAGGGCTCTGATGTAACATTCTTTTGTCAGTTAAAACCACTCATATATGACCGCTAATGAAAATCAGAGGTCTAGAACATTATCTTGTTTCGTGAATAGTGGTAATATCAGGTGTCCTCTGCATTTCTATTTCTCCATCTGAAAAACAGATTATACTTGACTTGTGTTATACATAAGGTTTGGTAGTAGATATAAAAATTGGATGTCTCAATAAAGATACAACAAAAATTCAAAGGAGTATTTCCAATCATTCAATCTATGACTATCTTCAGTGTCCACAGATCAATCTTATATGTATTTTCAGAGCTTCTTCTCAAGACTTGTATTTTGCTTCTTGGAGAAAACCGATTGCAGAAGAAATTTCCTGATATTGAGCAATATATTCATGGGTCAGTAAGCTGCTCAACCTCTAAAGCTAATGAAAAACAACCCTCTATAATGCATAAGAAAATTAAATGGTGGCACAAGAAACAAGTTATGTCCCTTAAAACTCTACCATCTCCGAAACTTCTGGGGTGATGAAAGTGTTGTCGATATTGATTGTGGTGTTATATATATTTGTCAAAACACATCAGGGGCCGGCCCAGCCGTGTAGTGGTTGGTTTCATGCTCTTTGCTTCCGTGGCCCAGGGTTCGCTGGTTCAGATCACGGGTGCAGACCAAGCGCCGCTTGTCAAGCCATGCTGTAGTGGCATCTCACGTAAAATAGAGGAAGATTGGCACAGATATGGGCTCAGTGACAATCTTCTTCAAGCAGAAAGAGGAGGATTGACAACAGATGTTGGCTCAGGGCCAAACTTCCTAACCCCAAAAAGAAGAAAGAAAGAAAGAAAGTCCTAGATCCTGCCTCCCAGAGGAGCTCCCATCAAGGCTGAGCTCAAGAACCCACACTGGGTGCCATAGAACCACTCTAAGTGAGCCTCAGTGATAAAATGTTTGTATTTATTGCTAAACAGAAAAAGAGTTTTCTTCCTTCTGAGTTGAGAATGGATGGGCCACTTGCGTGCTCTTCCATCTCAGAGCGAACTTTTCTCCAATAGGCTGAGCGGATGATGATGTAGAGCTGTTCAGCACTCCTGAGTTTCACCTCGTGCGCTGGGATTAATAGTACTTCAACTAGTGGCCCTGCTAATTGATTTCTCCCCTCCTCCACAGAACCATGATGGCAGTATCGACTTCCGAGAATATGTGATTGGCCTGGCTGTCTTGTGCAACCCTGCCAACACAGAAGAGATCATCCAGGTGGCATTTAAGGTACTGTCAGCCCCACTGAAAGCATCTTGGTCTGTCTCGTAAACAGGTGTTGACTCTAAGTGTATTATTTGAAAATCAGCGAATCTATTATGTGAGTTTATGGATCTGCTGTGACATGTACACGAGGATAATGTGATTAAGACAATTGCTGCTGAGAATGAAGCAAACACAGCATCAGTTTAAGCAAAAAAGCCTTTGGAAGCAGCCTAGTTAACAGCATCAAGATTGAAGAGCAGGTGATTTGACAAATTAGCTTAAAAAATTATGTCTTTCCAGCCTCCCCATTTTGAAACCTCTAAGTGAGGTTTATAAATAAGCACCACCTGTCACTAGTCATCCTAACTCACCATGCGGAAAGTTCTGATGCATCCTTATTTTCTCTCTCTGTATATCAGAGATAGTTTAAGTGGTATTTTCCTGATGGAATTTATTGTGTTGTGGTGGTGTCAGGTAAGCATCATCAAAAGATCCCTGAGTTTCCACCCTGTATGTTTTCCTGTCATATCACATTTATTTTCACTGCAATATTGAGGGGGTAGATGAATGAAAGTCCCCAGCAGAACTTGATGGAGGTTTGAATTGTGAGGACTCAGACTCCATTTATCAACTACATGCCCAAAAGAAGAGGGAAGAATACATTCCCTCAGTATGTTGTTGGTTCTTCTGAGATGGGAGGCGCTTCATCGAATTCATATTTAATTGGCATGTCCACTTTGAGTTCTAAGCTTATGGGGTCTGCTCTGAAGTAAAAGGAAAACTTAATCCCCCTCCTTGTCTTACCAAGTCGTGTATATTGACTCTTCCTGCTCAGCCGCTTGGTGATCTCTTTGCTTCCATCCACCATGACATCTGAAGACCTTCCCTATTCTTCTTTCTTACGGTTATCTCTTCCTGATTGTCTCTGAGAAGAATATCCCACTGTGACTCCAGCAAGTTGGTTTCTTTTTTTCATCTGTTACCTACAAACACTCTCTTCCTTCACGAGTTCTTTCTCACATCCTGGATGACACCAGGGATAGCCTCAGGAATTTTCATGTGTTCTATCATTGACAGAGGAGTCCCCAGTTTTGCTCTTTATTTCAGATTGGTTTAAGCCGAGTTAACTGCTAGGCCTATAAAGAACCCTAGTGGTTGATGCATAGCAGATGGTCATAAAGCAACGGCCAGAACGTTTTCCAAGTTTAAAACATTTGGCTTTTACAGACTTATTCATCATAAAACCTAAAATTATACACGTAACGAACTTATTCCGATCCAGATATTTCTGTTTCTGTTTTGGGACTGTATGTATAATTATAAGTTTCGTTGGGCCAATGGTCACTTTTGGTTTACCAATGAAAGACCTGATAGAAAATTTGGCCCTTACTCACAGTAATTATTGTTTTTAAAGAAGTTATGAGATTTTTATCTAGCCTAGACCTTGGTTTGGGCTGGGGGAAGGAGGAAACGAGAACCTGAAACTACAATTAGCTCTTGTCGGTAAGGCTGGGGTCAGGCTTCACAGTGGTTATTTTTTCAACCTTCCGTCTTAGGTGTGTTTTATGTTTTGGGAAATATGTTAGCATACTTTTCTTTTTCATTAGGTAGTATCCTATTATATAGGATCCATTCACATCCTTTTATTGGGGTAGCACTTCACGGTTAATTTCCCGTCTTTGATCTCGTTCCATCGTCACAGTGACCTTTGGAGGTAGGACGTCAGAGAGCTGCGGCTGTAAGCAGTAGGCTCTGCGGCAGTTGTAAGCCGTGGTTGTGGGCGTGGATCCTGGCTCAGGAATTCATTGTAAGGACGGGGAGTAGGCTCAAGGGGAGACTCAAAACCGGGCAGCTGCGGAGGCCCCCGCTGCAGGATCTGTTCTCCACGCTCCCTCCCCGCAGCGAGGTGGAGCGAACTCCAGCTCTGCTCGTCCTCCACATTCCAGGGAGGCTCCAAATGGGCTTGGGCCGTGTGCTTGCCAGGAAAGACAGAGTGTTTTGATTAAGAGGCCCACAGTATTCTCTGCAATGGGGAGATGTCATTCCCTCGTTCCCAAGGGAAACCGGGGTGTTAAACTTTCCACCAGAGCCCAGATCATGAGATCCAGGAACTGTGTGCAGGGAGACTATTGAGGATGATGAGTAATTGAGGGAAATTTAGGGCTTTAGTGCGGGGAGCTATCTGGAGCAGTTGTGACAAAGGACAGATGGAGGGAGAGGAAGTAAAAGTCCCCAGCAGGGATGCGTGAAGGGAACTTAGAAGTGAGAGCCACTGAAGCACTGCGGGATGAGTTGGTGAGACTCATTGAGGAATGGAAGGCCTTGAAGAAAGCTTGGAGCTGGTGAGGAGCGGGGTGTGACTGAATCCTGGCACTTAGTTTGAAGTCCAAGGCCCAACGAGAGCCCTGGGACTGCAGGTTGTGAAAATAAATGCAAATTCACTTTTCTCTTTCCAGCTGGCTCACCTCCACTTAGGGACTGAGTGGTAGAAAATGGATTATAAGTCAGTGCTTTGTCAGCTGGGGGAAGCGACCACAACTTCAAAATACTATGTTTTCCTCCTCCCAATCCTCGTGGACCGTTAAAGCACTGTGCAATATGTGCTTGTTGTTCTTTTCCCGATCATCACACCTTATCGAAGGCCTGTTCTTTTTCTGGTTTTGATCATGTATTCGATCAGAAGTAGATACCTTAACAGCAGGAACTCTAGATATTATCTGCCTGGATTTGAATGCCAGCTCTCCCTCTTGCAAGTTGTGTGACCTTGGGAAAGTTGCCTGACGTCCTTGTGCCTGTTTTCTCGTCTGTAAGATAGGGCTAATAATGGCACCTGCCTTACGTAAGACACTTGTCAGGGTTACATGAGTTGATACATGTCGAGTGATTTGAACTCTTTTGATCAGTGCCTGCACAGTCAGTGCTTATAGCGTTACAAACTTGTAATAACCGGGAGAGGATTGAATATAGGGTATTAGTTATCTAACTGTTCCCCGTTTTGCTGCTTGACTTTCAATCTATCCCACTCCGCTGCTTTTTCCCCTCCACCGATAAACGTATTCCGTCTCTCCCTTCCGAAGGACAAGCTCCTTTTGTGCTTGGCTACTTCCCCATTTATCTCCTTTCCTTTATTACATAATTTCTTAAAAGGAGAATCCATGCTTGTTGCCCCCACTTCTCCCCTCTCTTCCTTCCTTGATCCCCATTATCATCTGGCTTCCAGGTTCCGGAAACTGTCTTTACGTCATCACTTCTTCAGGATCTCCTAACTGCCAAACCCAGCAAAGCTTTTTGCTTCTCGCTTGGCCTTTCTATAGCATTTTACTCCATTGGCCGTTACCACTGTCCAAGTCTCTTCCCCTTTCTTGAAAGCCCTCCCTTAGCTTCTAGAATGCTTGCTCTTCTTTTCTGGTTCTCCATCTCCGACTGCTGCCTCCGAGTCCTGTTTGCCGGTTCCTCCTCCCTACACACATCTCACCTCTGGCTGTTCTCAGGGCTTTGCCTTACTTTGTACATTCTCTACAGATAAGCTTCAAGTACACCCATAGTTCCAGTTCCTACCTGACTGCCTGTCACAAGCCTCATCACTCTCCTGAGTTGATATGCTGAATCAATTACTTCCTCCTGGCACCTCTGACTCAAATTTAACATCTCCGGGTCCAGCTCCTGATCTTATTGGGCACCTGTGCTCCCGCTCTTGGTGATGTAACCACTTTCACCCAGCTGTCCAAGCTAGAACACTTCAGCCATCTTTGGCTCCTTGCTTTCCATCACTACAGACCTCTAACTGATATGCAAGTCTTGTCTTGGCTTCCTTACAGATTCTGTCCCTTCCTGGCCTTCCTGCTTCTTCACCTAAGCCTCTTAATTGTTTTGCCCACCTCTTGTCTTTCCAACCTTCCACCCTCCATCCATGCTGCACACTCTGCCTCAGAGAGTTCCCTCAGTTCGCATCTGATCTCACCACGTCCCCTCTCATCCTGTCCCTGCCGGGTTAGTGGAGGCACTGTGTCTCCATCATGATCTGATTCCTGCTTGTCCTTCGGTCCTGACTTGAGCCCCCAGCAGCTCCCTGCCAGTCCTTGTACACACTGGGAATGTCTCTTCGTGTCCTGAGACGCAACTGAAATGTCAGCTCCTCCTAAAGCTCTGTGTGGCCAAGCAAAACGGAGCAAGTTAACCAAACTGGCTGGTAACTGCAGTAGAAGGCTATGGACTAAGGTACCAACAATCATAATAGTGGCTAGACCTCCTGTTGATGTTTACTGCTAGCACTTAGGTAAGCTTTCATTTTCCTTATCTCATGCCCTCTCCGGGTAGGACTCATCTTGCTCTCTGCAGGACCCTCACGTCCCTTTGTACTCACTATAGTTGTGGCTCCTATTTTCACTCTGTATCTTTCCACCACTAAACTATAAGTGCAGTGAGAGTGGCGGAGACCATGCTTTCTTTACATGCGTATCCCTAGCCCCTGGCACTGTAAATGTTTGAATTAGGAAAGAACTTATTTTCCAAGATTATGCCGTACCACCATTGTTCTGAGGGAGCTAATTGTTACGTTTTGTTTTCTTTTTCCTTCAGCTCTTTGACGTGGATGAGGATGGCCACATAACGGAGGAGGAGTTCTCCACCATTCTGCAGGCTTCCCTTGGAGTGCCTGACCTTGATGTTTCTGGTCTCTTCAAGGAAATAGCTCAGGGCGATTCTGTGTCGTACGGTGAGTAGGCGGTTTGGCTCCTGATTCAGTTTACAAAGCCGGCATCCGGTCTCTGGATTGACCCTCATACAAGAGTGTTGTTTCTTCCCCTCCACTAATTACATGAATAATAGACGTAATAGCAATAATGATGATAGTAATAATAGCTAATTATTGACAACTTGCCATATGCTAAATACTCTTCTAAACATTTTATATCTGTTAACTCATTTAATCTTTAACAAGCCTTTAATCAATCCTCTTCATTATTCTTACTTTACCGAGGTGCAGAGAATTTCAGTAACTTACCTAGGATCATCCAGCTAGAGAATGGCAGAGCCGGGATTCAAACCCCAGACATCCTGGCTTTAGGGCCCACCCCATTGACCTGCACACTTAGTGCCCTCCTGGAGGGCCTTTTCCTTTCTGCTGCCAGTGTGGCCAAGCAAAACGGAGCAAGTTAACCAAACTGGCTGGTAACTGCAGTAGAAGGCTATGGACTAAGGTACCAACAATCATAATAGTGGCTAGACCTCCTGTTGATGTTTACTGCTAGCACTTAGGTAAGCTTTCATTTTCCTTATCTCATGTCGTGTTGTTGGCATCCCTGTGAGGTAGGGACTATCATGGCGGAAGACCTGGCAGCCAAGTGGCAGGTCCATCCGTCAGTGACCAAGCTTCTTCCTGCTGGCTCGAGTCCACACATCAAAACAGGCTCTGTAGGGCTGAAGGACGTACGTCACTTTCACATATTTCACAGTGCAATCGTTGGGAAACACACCACGCATCAGCAGCTGCAGAGAGGCCTATGTGACGGTTGCCCAACCTCGGCTTTGATGCGGTCATAGATGTCAAGCCGGCTTGTCTTCCCCAGCCTTTCCCCTCAGGCTGGAGGGGGAGTCCTCGCGAATGCCTTTTTCCTTAGGATCTTCAAAGAGCCCCAGCTTGTTAACTTTGCTGGGATGGGGAATTAGATCACATTACTCTCTGTTTTTAATTACTGTCATTTTGGCTGCCCTTTATTCTATTTCAGGTAATTAAGTGCCTAGGGCGCTTATACTCTAAGTTCATAAAAAAAAAAGAAATAAAGTATAAAATGAGGAAGTATTTCCTGAGATAAAATTTGTGAGTCATCAACCCCATGTGTGCTAATTCTCTGACCGTTTTTCTTTCATGAGTAAGACTCTCTGTTACTCTCAGCTACCAAATTTTGAAAAAGTACTTGGAGTAACTATTTCAATGGAAGCTAATATCAAAATTTATTTTTAGGTAGTCATAATTTAATGACTCTTAATCGAATTAATCAAATTATTAGAATTAATTTCGATTTTAATAATTTTTTTAGGCAAATCTTTGTTTTTTGCAGTTTGATCTTTTCCCTTTCAGAATACACAGGATATCTTCTTTTCCCCAATATTATGCATGTACATTTTTTTTTTGCAGGAATGTTTGAGGTACGTAAACATGATTTTATCAAAGAATAGGTATTGAAATGTATCATAAATGTGACCATTTAAATTGTTTCAATGTGATCATTTAAATTGTTTTCGTTCTTGGTTTTCCATTAGCCAAGTTAATTCCCAAATTCCACTTCTAGCCAGTTCACAGCACTTCTAGAAATGAGTTATTCTTTAATGCCACTGCCATCCCCAAAGAGAACAGAGCAAAATCTTGAAATTAAAGCTTTTGGTTTCAGTAGATCGACTCTCATGCTCACTTATCTTAGAAGTCACTTATGTCCCCTGTGTCTCCATCATTGAAATAGACTCATGCAGATGAACCTTGATTTTGGATGTTAAGAAAGAACAATTAATAACTTACCTGATTTGGAAAGACAAAATTGTCTATTAATGCTAATAATGTTGCAGTTGCAAAGAATGATTTGGGCTCAGTCTGGTGACTTCCTCATCACTAAGACCTATTTTTGTCTTCAGGAGTTGTTAGGTGGTCTAATGTACCATGAAGCAGACTCTTGGTTATCAGAGGATTTTAAAGAAATGAGTGGATAAAAATAGGATGTTGGGTTAAAATTATTCTAGAGTCAGATAGCAAGCTGAGTGCAAGACTAGGCTCCCTTTGCTCTATGAGCTCAAGAAGATTTTCTCCATCCAAACAGAAGAGGATAGAGAAGTTTCAAAACTGAGGGTAGCATCATATTTCAGGAACTCCAGGTTACTGGAAGCTTGATGTTCAAATTCTGAGGGGTAACGTGGTAAGCCTTCTGTACCTCCAGCTCGGTTCCTGAAGCTGGACCCCTTGAGATGAAGAGAGATGGGCTACTCAGAGGTCTTGCAACATGATGATTATGTATTAGGCGCCCCACTTGCCTTTAATGATCATAAGTCAGGGCTCTGCTTTTCAAGACTGTATATTTCTATACCAGAGTTAAGGGTTAAAATAGTTTTAAAAGCCGGTAATAGAAATTCCTGGGTAATAGAATCTTTTAAACTTTTTATTACGAAAAACAACAAAAATACAGAAAACTGAATAAAACATAAACAGAGCATAATGCAGTTTCATAAAGTGAACATTCACATAACTACTGCTCAGATCAAGAAATAGAGCTTTATTGACCTGACTTAAAGAGGAATCTCTACCTTGCTCGACTTTGGCATTTTACCACAAAGTACGCATTTTTAAATATTATGTCTTAGCTTTGCCTAAGTTTTTGAAGTTTATGTAATGGACTCGTATAATATGTGTTCTTTTGTATCTGGCTTTTCTCATTCAAGTGGCTTTAAGATTCATCCATGATGTTACAACACAGCTGTTCATTCATTTTCATTGCTGTATAGCGTTGTTCCATGAATATGCCACAATTTATTTATCCACTGCTACTGTTGACAAACGTTTGAGTTGTTTCCATTTTTTGCCTCTTATGAATAATGTGGCTGTGAACGTTCTCATACATGTCTCCCAGAACACAGTATGCACAAATTTCTGTCCTTTGGAATAGAACGAGTGGGCCCTTCTGTACGCATGTCTTCAACTTGACTGGATCACGGAAAAACTATCTTCTGAAGCAGTTGTACAATTTGTGAGGGATGAGTAATAGAATTTTGCAATAATTGTATTATTAAAGTCATATGTTAATCATCGTGCCAAAAGAAGATCCACCTCAATTTATTGGTTTTTGTTTGTTCTCTTCTTCTAGAGGAATTTAAAAGTTTTGCCCTAAAGCATCCAGAATATGCTAAGATATTTACAACATACTTAGACCTCCAGACGAGCCATGTGTTTTCACTGCCAAAAGAAGCTCAGGCAACTCCCTCATTCACAAGTAATAAAGTCAGTCCTGAAAATCGTGAAGAGAGCGCCTCAGACAAGAAGGATGACTGACAGTACATTTTCCCAGCAAAGTGAACGCGTGGCTCTTTCTTGAAATTGCAAAGACATTTATTGATAGTGTTTTAATTGTGATTGTTGAGTAGTGACGATGTTTAAGATGAAAGCTTTTTTCTTTATTAAAAATGATAGACTTTATTATTAAAATGCTTTTAGTCTCATGTGTATATCAAGTAATATTCCTTTTATATTATATTGTGCTGTCCTGATTGGTTTACTGGTGATAAATATGTTTGTATGCATTTTCCAGTTTAATTTGCATATCCAAATGAATGAAATGGTCTCACTTAGTTATTGATCAGCATTATCAACACCTAGAGCTTAAAAACTGTAAAACACTTTTTAATCTACTTCCCTCTAAAGAAATAAAGTAATATTCTGTTATCTCTAATCTTTCTCATTTCTGAAAATAAGAATCAAAAGTCTGAGGAATGTTGCAGGATTTTATACCTTTAACTTCATAGATGCACTTTTTTCTATTTACATCTCAGTTTCTTGGATCACTGACTATGGGTGCATTAGAAGGGAGAGCTCTGTTCATTACATGACACTTCTGAAAAACTTATATTCTCTTTATCATGCATACCTATTATGGATTTTCTTAACCACCTGCTAAGGAAATCATACCCTTTTGCATGACCTACAGATTTAGAACGTTGCTTTAAAGGCAATGGCTATGGCCAAAAGCCAAGTGGCAGTTGCATTATTGAAGGTAACATTGGTTGCCTAATGAGAAAATGAATTGTTTGCCACAGAGTTTAATTTGAGTTGGATAGTTCAGAATGCAGTGCTTGCCCAGTAAAGGAATTATATTTGCTCTATTTATATAATATTAGAATTAATATATTTTAGGGGGCTGGCCCAGTGGTGCAGCAGTTAAGTTCCCATGTTCCGCTTCTCGGCGGCCCGGGGTTGGCCAGTTCGGATCCCGGGTGCAGACATGACACCGCTTGGCATGCCATGCTGTGGTAGGCGTCCCACATATAAAGTAGAGGAAGATGGGCACAGATGTTAGCTCAGGGCCAGTCCTCCTCAGCAAAAAGAGGAGGATTGGCAGTAGTTAGCTCAGGGCTAATCTTCCTCAAAAAAAAAAAGGAATTAATATATTTTACCTTCTAAGTGGGTATTTTGTTAAGTGTCCTCTCGAGTTTTAGAGCTTGTCTGAAATATCTGCAGGGAAAACACAGAATGTTCCAAAATATCACTGAAAATTAGGGAATCCAAAACCTACCTTTTAATCCAAGACCACAGTGTAACCCCCAGGCGGGAATTGCACAATGACATTTTTCCTTTCGGTTAAGCAATAATTTCCCTCAAGTGCCATTTTTATTGGATGTCATGTGTGCATGCATATTGTTAATATCATTTATGTTTGAAATTTTGAACAAAGAACCAATTTATTAATATAATGTACAAAAATAGTTATTTCACATTCTGAGTTGTCTTTGAATTCAAACTCTTTGTTTTGACTGTGTGTCTGAATATATTGGTGATAGACCCTGAAGCTAGTTTTTTAAAGCCATTTTAGAAGTTGAGAAGTCTCATGAGAGGTGTCGGAGTTTATATTTAATCGAGTCATGATTTCAAACTAGTTTTACATGTTAAGTAGTTAGTATTCGAATTTAATGAGTAAATATGTATTTGGATAATTGATTACTAAAAACTTTGTGTATATAAATGTTTGCTTTTTGTATGTCTTAAAGCTATTTAGACAAAGCATTGAATGAGCTGGAAACAACTACCTAAGCAAAGTACATTTATATAATCGTGTCTGTCTTATGCAATTGAATGTATGTAATACTCAGGTACCATGATTGTTTTTTCTCATAAAAAAGCCACATATTAGTCATGAATGAAAAAGCATTGTAAAATAAAAGCTTTCTATGAGGCTCTTGAAAGTGATCCTATTGTTTTCCTGTTTTAAAGTAATATTTTATGCTCTTTAATTCCGCTTCTGCCAATGTAATGTTCCTATTCCTGTTTTACTACTTGAATAAACAAACTTGCTACATAAAATTCTTGGCAATTACAAAATTCTGGTTTTGCCATTTTGTCTCGAATGTAATATACCTTTTTAACATCGGGGTTTGAATATAAGTTTGCATATTTATGAATGTGATTAATCATTTTTGTTTATATTCAAGCTTTATGAAATGTCAGACATGACTAATGAAAAAGCCAAATTTTAGCTAAAATAGCAATAGCATTCCTAAAGAAGTTGACTTTTGACTGGTGGAGTGTGTGTAATAACGCAAGTCATGATCATCAGTATTACTACAGACTAGGCCTCTCTTTTTATGCCATCTTAACAAAGAGTTCCTTCAAAGATGAGACTTCTTAAAAACTCATATTGAATTTTTTCCTCTTAAGATTTAAAGTAAAGAATTAAATTTCATTAAATCGGTAAAACACACTGTGGTATTATATAGTAGGTTCAAAAATGTGTTACTCTTTGAAATTAGAAATATTAGATCCTAAGACGTATAAACCATAAAAATTTCAATCGGAACAGTTCTACTGAAGGATAACGACAAACCGAATGCTTCTAGACCAGGTTGCTTGCCTTATGTGTATTTAATTCTCCTCTGCCTCTGCTTTTGGAGTTTTGGAAGGCTGAGTGTGCTAGCTAGGAGTGGTACCTATAATGGATATTTGAAAGAGATTACCTCCCTGTAGAAGACACATGGTCTGCTCTCTGGACGGGGCACAGCAGTACAGGCATCTCATTCCCAGACTCGGGAGCTCCCCCTGCAGATTGTAGCAAATGCAGGGCAGTTAATTGACGCTTTATTAAACAGAGGGACATTGACTGTATTGGACCAGATGGGCTGCCTACTGCAAAAGTCCTTGTATATTTGTCTTTACAGCAATCACTAAAGAGGATAAAGACATTCTAGTAGGAAACCCATCCCGAGGAAAGCAGACACATTTACAATCTTTTTTTTCTTTTCTGTTCCCTTGGATGAACTTTTCAATTTTGTTAAGTTGTTAGACCAGAGTATTAAATAAGTGTTACCTTGTGGCTTGTTGGAGATGAGCACCCTCAGAAAGTTCTTGATATATATCCAATATGCAGTCATGAATCACTTAAGAATGGGGATACATTCTGAGAAATGTGTCGCTGGGCGATTTCATCATCGTGCAAACATCATGGAGTGTACAGAAACCTTACACAAACCTAGGTAGTATAGATTACTACATTTCTAGGCCAAATGGTACTGATCCTATGGAACCACCATCATATACGCGGTCCGTCGTTGACCAGAACGTCGTTATGCAGTACATAACTGTATGTATCATGAACTTTGGTAAATAGGATAATAACCTGAAGATCGCTTGTCCTTTTTATCCCATTTCATGTAACCTGTTTCTAGATAATTGTTCTCTCCCAACAGACTTCTCAATTGTCTATGTAAGGACCAGCATGTTAGAGCAACTTGTGTCCATTACATTTTAATGCCCAGCTTGCTGTTTTTTCTAACATGTTAACCTTAATTCCTAATCATTCTTACAAAAGAATCTATGTACATTAGAAAAGATAAAAAGAGAAAAGAATAAACATAAAAAAGTCACGTTTACTTCCACTATTCCAAATTGACCGTTATTAATTTTTTGACATTTTATTTTACCCTTTTTTCTAGATATTCTTATATTCTCAAGATAACATTGTATATGGTATTTTACATCTTACTTTTTCATTTGCAAAGTAAAATTTCGCAATGTCATTAAACCTCTCTGTAACTTTTTAAAGTGTACCTAAGATTCCAGCAGATAGCTATAATGTAGGATATGTAATCATTTTTCTTATATTGAACATCTGAGTTTGATTTTCCTTTTGGGGATATTAAAAATATCCAACCCAATACTCCATAATATCCATAATTACAAATAGTTTTCTAAGGGACTTATTTATACTTTCTGAATTCCAAAATGAAAAATTCACTAACGATTTTATAATTATTAAAATTTGTTTTGAACTAATTTTATTACAGGAAGAAAATTGAAATTATTAGAATGCATATAGAAGTTTTAACTTCATGTAGTGGTTAACCTGTTCATATCATTTAAAGATAAGGAGACTTCATCTTTTAAAAAGTATTTATCTTTCCCTTTGTAACAGTAACAATAATTATTACAATAAGTAATAATAATAATAACTACCAGTTTGGAGTGCTTGCTGTGTATCGGCATCGTGCTAAGTGATTTACGGGCATCAACTCATTTAAACCTTCAACGAAGCATAGATATCGTTGTCCCTAGTTTAGATAGTCTAAACAAAATTTAGAACTATCCTTAAGTCACTCATTAAGTGGCAGACCTTGGCATTAAGCCTAATTTTGTCGGATTGCAAAGGCCATGCTTCCAATCATTTATCTAAAGCCACATAGCTGCCTGGTTTTAGAATTTATGGATTTGGCGTCTGCTATATATTTTCCTCCTTATGGGTTCGAGAGATCAAATTTCGACTTCGTTCTTAAATGGAAGAGAGACGGAGGTGGTTCAGAATGGTGCAGAGCAGTGGTAGAGATGGGAAAAGATGCGTGAGCCACAGCCTCGCAAGGGTAACACTCCTGCTGGCCCAGAGCATGACAGCTGAAAATCCTGAAACCTTCCTATGTGAGGAATCCAAGTTACTGGCAACCACAGGCGAGGGGAACTTCAGAATACTACCGCGATCTTTGTCCTTCCTGGGCCGTCGTGGAGCGTGAATTCTCCACTTCTTATGGACCCCTCCGCTGACGTGGCCTTTTCAGCCACATCTCTGCTCTCAGAATAAAATGCATGATCAGCAGAGTTGAGGGAAGCGAGGACTACCCCAACATTGGAATATCTCAGACCTTCGTTGTAAATGTTGTGGACTGTCCTCTTTGCTGTTCTCACTGCTGATACTTCTGCTGTCTTACAAATTGTCTTGCACAGTGATCATTTCACGCATAAACCACATATCGCTTCTCCAGTTAAATTTTTTCAAAGGCTACCCATTGCAGTTTGGATAAAATCCCAAATATTCAACGTGGCCTGCAGGGCCTTACGGGGGCTGCACTTCCTGCAGTCTAGAGCCCAACTGTCCCCAATCTCCTCCCTCACTAACTCCCACCACCAGTTTTTTGTCCCCAAACGGACTGCAGCCCCTTCCAGGCTCAGAGTCTTTGTACTGCAGTTGCCTCTGGCTAGAATGCCCTTTCCCAAAGATTGTCACCTGGCTTTCTCTTCTTCATTCAGACTTTTGTAAAAAAGCAGCTTCATCGAGATATAATTCACACACCATACAATTCATCCATTTAAAGCAGACAATTTAATGTTTTTTTAGTAGATTCACAAGGCTGCACAGCCATTGCAGCTAGTCTTAGAACATTTTTTTACTTCATTCAGGTTTTAAATCAAATGTCATGTCATCAAATAGGAACACCCATCACCTAATCAAATAGCCCACTCTGTCTCTACAGACATTCTGAATCCATTACCTTTTTTGTTATTGCACATAAACTTATGCAAAATGACTTGTTTGTTTATACATTTATTGTGTGTTATTCCTCGCACTTAGGAGGTGTGCT